GAGTTGTGGCAAAGGGGAACCGAATTTTTTGTAGCTCTTCTTTAAGTTTGTCATTGCAGGTTATATAATAAAAAATATAACTATCAACTTGTCTCCCCTAACCATACCTCTTAATATTCTCGACAGGTTAGATAGGACAAATTATCAGCCGAAAAGAGTGTCACTTTCACTCTTTTTACTCATCTATGATCCTTTCACAAATTGGCTTGAAATATCATTAAGCTAATGATTAATCATTTTTAGCTGTAACTAGTGATACATGAAAATATATTTTACTACTGAAGTTCCATGTAGATAAGTTTTGAGAGATTCCTACTTCAGATCAGTTATCTTTGTTGCCAAGTGGCAGACACTTGCAAGCCATCCATCTTAGAGAGTATTGTCACATTTTTAACTGGGATGTTTTAGTGTCCGCATAGCAAGCTTTCTTTCCCCCATTAAATTCAATGAGGTAGACCATAATGTACTAGATAGAAGAAAGCTACCTGTTAAATAGGTCATGCTATTCAAACAAACTGACATGACAATTATGTAGAAGGCACCACTTCCCACTATCCTTTAAATGAAGCATGAAGCTTAATTCTGGTCATGTTTTCAGGACTCACTCTTATTGACCAATATCTTATGGGGAACTTTCAATTCAGTTTTATATCATCATGTATAGCATATGCTTCAACTTTATTTGTTAAGCCTGGCTGTCAGATGAAACCTTTTCTTCCTAGAGAATAATGACTTATACAGATTCATTCATGATTACCAAAATTAACCGAGATATGAAGCTGCTTTTTTCAGTTCATAAAATCATCAAGAATCCCTATATGGAATTCCTTACATCTTGTTTTGTTTTTATATTCATGCGATGTGAACTATGACATCCTGTTTCTTTTCATGTATGAATAGATCATTTAGCACTTCTTTTACCAAGAGTTTCTCATTTCTTCTGTACATTTTGTCAGAAAATATTTTGCATGCTGAAGGGTAATTAACTTTTCATACTACAATTTGCACAACTCTTGTATTCTTAGGCTGATGGATTTTTAAAGCAATCCTCCTAATACAAGAGTTCCTGACAATTAAACTTAATATTTAGGGTAGTGTGGAAGCAGGTCTACCCAGTGCTTTTCTAAGAGGCCTTTCCATTGCTACTCTTCGTGGACGGGCT